AGAGGTTACTATCTGAAGTGAAGTAACAATTTACAGTTCGAAACAAATTCCATAAGCTAAAATGACTGACGCTGCCGGGATAACCCCGGTTAGAAATGTGAGGTCCCCGATCTCAATTGAATTTTCTCTTTCGAAATATGACAAGTGTGTTGTTTTATATATATATGTATATAATATGACGATATATATATACATATATATATACATATATATATACATATATATGACGATATATACATATATATACATATATATATATATAGAGAGAGAGAGAGAAAGAACATTGTTAAAAAAAAAAAAAAAAAAAAAAACAAGAAAAGAATGTGGTGGAACTTGAAGACAAATTTGTGGCAAAAGTTTGCCTGTGAAAGGCAGTGGTGGTGTAAGCCACCAGTACATGAGAGCTTCTTTTTACTGAGGTGGATTGCATCTGGGCGGCAAACTTGACAAAAACACTAGCACGTCGCGTTTTCCTAGAGTACCTTCTACGTTACTCCGGATAGCGTACAAAGAGTGAATACATACAGCTTGTTTCTATAGCATGTGACGGGACCGAGGCTATGCTCCCCAGCGGCTGACAACTCGTAGTCGTAGTACAACTGTCGTTGCTTGTCCGTCCTTTTTTTATATATAAAAGTTATATTCTTCTTTCAATTTCACCTCATACTACCTACCTACCACTACTCCTAATTGTAGGCATACGGGGAACCTCGTAGTAGCCAGAACCGTGTTCACGAGAGAACATACGGGGGTTGCTCCCGACCTGCAGGTGGGCGATACCGCCTAGGGGACAACCGGTAACATCAACGAACCATGCCAACTGGATCAATCCCTGTGCCTCCTCTCATGTCCCCTCCCATGCGAACATCAACAGACTCTGCTCAATGTCAATCGGGGGATCCAGTGGACTATCTCTAGGTGGCGGCCGCCAAGCATGCCCAAGAAGATACATGAGGTCGATGGGGATTGAACCCACACCCTCCTGAATGCCACTTGCGAACCTTACCAACTGAGTTAGGCCGCTGGATTTGTCTGTCCTTTTACCCATCCGTGGCCCCCTCTCTCTCCACTACTCTCGAACTCGAAATGTACATAGGTGAAAACGAATGTTCCGCTATAACTTTGAAGGATACACCGCCATATTTGTTTGTTCGCAGCCAGGAAGCTGCGCTTGTATGAGTTTCATTTTCGTCGTTTCATTTCTTTCTATTTTCGGTAAGGTCGTGCAGTACAAATTCGCTAAGACGAGTTTGTTCGGGATCTCCGACAATAGAAAATAGGGTCCAGACGTAGTCGTCCCTAAGACCGATTGTAGGGCAGGTTATATTATCAAGGTCTTTGCAATTTAGTATAGGGTGCCGTCCATTGTTTCTCTTTTGAGGGATAGAGTTTTTCCCGTTGCAAACTGGGGCGGGCGATATGGGTCTGGGCGGGCGATTTGGGTCTGGGTCGTTTCGACTTTTGTTTTTTTTCTCTTTTACTGCATCTTCCCATAAATACATTATCGAAGCATTATGCTGTTTACGACGCCCAAGTAACGAAATCTAGAACGGACTGCCCTGCCTCGTTGGCAGGGCTTACTAAGAAAATAAAAGAAAAAAAAAAGGAACATTTTTGAAATGCCCTTGAAGTTTGTGTTTATTTGCGGCATGCCCCTTTGACGGCCGACTCACCTTGTCGCGCCCCTCTGACGACGAATGATGTTTCCAGAAAACCCCTGGCGTCATTTCGGCCTGAAACATGTTTCATATGCCCCTACCGGTACCAGTACCAAGTTTTCAGTACGCCCCTACCGGATGGTCGTTGAGAACCAACACAAAAGTTTCCTATATGCCCTTATCGGTACCGCCCATCTTTCTAGTGAGCCCCTGTGACCGTTGTTGACACTCGCAGTCTTTCCCCTGGCCCCGAGAGAGGTGCTACTGGGGCATATCAAAAAATTGGTGATGAGCATGGACACACACACACACACACACAACACACGTATACACACACGCGCACACGCACACACACACACACACACACACACACACACAACACACACACATACGCACACACACACACACACACATTATATAGATGTGCACGCGTGCATGGGCGATGATGCCATGATGACGCCCATGGTTATGGTTAGGAGGTTAACAATCGAGGCGGAGTAGAGGGAGGGGTGACGAGGAGAAAGTTGGAGGGGAGAGGAACGAGGGAAGAGGAGGGGAAGAGGAGTGGGGAGGACAAGGACTCTGACGATGACGGACAAGGATAGAGGATGGAGGCTGGACGAGAAGAGAGGAGAGTGACGAGGATGGAGGAGGAGGAGGGAGGAGGGCGATGATTATGGACGGAGGAGGAGGGAGGAGGGCGATGATTATGGACGGAGGAGGAGGGAGGAGGGCGATGAGCATGGACACACACACACGCGCGCGCGCACGCTCCCCTTCACACGGTAGCCGTATGCACTCCAACGCATCGATCACTGATGCCGCGACGCGGCGAATTCGAAGATTCACTGCTGCACAGTTTTTTCGTGGCGGCCCGTGAAATGCCTACCACTTTGAATTCGAATTACTGCTGCCACTGCTGCAAGGGCATCACAAAAAGATGTGTGCCCCTCGTGAGGGCATTTCAAGGACAGGCCGACAAAACGCCACCAGCGGTCCCGTAAGGGCATATCAGAAAGTTACGCCCCATGCTGACAGGGGCCTGCGGAAAATTTCAGAGGCCCGAGGGGCACCACAGGGAAAGTCGGCCTTCACAGGGGTACACCGCAAATAAATGCAAACTTTGAGGGCGTTTCGAAAATTTTGCGACAAAAAAAAACGTATTGTCTCTCGGAAAAAAGAAGAAGAAAAAACGCACTTACCTTTGATCCGATAGCTGTGGAGATCGATGGCCTTGCTCCGCTACTGACCAAATGTGCAACATGAGCATGAATCTTCTGGTAGAAGACAGATAGATACACTGCTAGTAGTTTAGAGCTTGAAATGCCCTTTTTCCTGCCGGCGTGAGGGGTGGTACAGCCCTCAGTAGCTTG